TCAGATAGAGCATCGTTCCAATAAAGGAATCAAGGATCAAGGTTGATCAAGGACTAAACCTTATCGAGTCAATGCCTCCCTCAGGAGTGATCATCTAGACTCCCGCAGGATCTAGAGTTCAAATGTGTCATATCCCATATGCCAGACATAGATCCCATCATATTCCCACGCTTTCCGGACCTGTTTCCGGACCCCATATCCAACTCATTCCTAGATCCCCTATCCTATCCACCCTATGCACATTCTGTCCAGCAAGACATCTGGACTTTACCTCCTCTTGGATTCCGGACTACATCCACCACCTCACATATCTCAGTCCTGTTTCTGCCCTGCCTTCTGGATCCCCAGATCTCTGGACCTCCGGATATTAACTGTACTATCTCCAGACCTATTCCCACCCTCTGTCCAAGATCCTGCGCCTATCCCCATTTAGGCATCTCCACCTTTCTGGTTCTCGGTTATCTCTGTTTCCGTCTTGCTGATTGATCCTTGTACTAGTTTCATCTCCGAGTTCATTTACTTATGTTCCATCTTACTTACCAATATGTTTCCGCATGCTCATACATAGCCTTACTCCTTTGCTTACTGATCCTCTCAGATAGTCTCTAGTATATAACCCCTGTACAACTACAGTAGAGTCCTCAGTCTGAATACCACCTTAGATCTGCCCAATCATCTTCTGGACTTCAGTCCGTCTGAGTCTTGTCCTTTTCCGTAAGGCCTAGGGAAGGATTCCCTAAGCCGGAATTCTGGACCTTCAGATTTGTCCCCTATGTCTCTGTCCCAAGTCTAGGGATTGCTTCCCTAGGCTAGAGTCTTGCCTTTCTGGCACTTACCCTCTTTCCAGACTTAGGTCCACTTCCCGTCCCTCCAACTCTACCTTAGGGTAGTCTACCTCCGTTTGCTTCTACATTGGACGAAGTCTGATGTAGCCCCTATTCCTTCTGGACCTCTGGACCTCCTGTCCTCTGTACCTCTGGATGTCCTGGTATCCTGTCCTTCAGACATTCCGCCCTCTGTACCTTCAGACATTCTGTCCTCCATACCTCCAGACATCCTGTCCTCCATACTCTGGACCTCCTATCTGTCCATCCTGTTTTCCTGTAGAAGTATTACCTTGCAGTGGGAACTCTCCTGAGCATTTCCTGCATCCCTCCAGAACTCTCCTGCGCTCCTCTGGACGTTTCCTGCACTCCTCCGGAAGACCTCCCACACTCTCCACCAGAGTAGCCAGCCTCTGGAAGTCCTCCAGACTTCATCGGACCATCATCAGACTTCCTCTGAAATGAAGGGCACATACTTGGGTAAGGGGCACAGCATACAAGCTGAGGCCAAGCCCCTCTGAGTCAGTCTCTCTCTCCTTTGAGCATGGTTCTTGTCAAAATGGGATAATGGCTAGCCTCCTTCCCAAGGAGCTAGAGTTCAAGGATGAAAGAGAACCGAGTAGATTCAAGTTAGAGAAAATACAAGTGGTAACTAGGGTTTATATACATAAGGGGATCATGCACAGACCAGGCTGGGCAAAGGGGTAACAACTACTGAGAAGGGAAGGTTCATGGGAAAACAAGGTATGAGTCAAAGATAAGGGAGACCATGAGGAAACAGCACAGTGAGAAGGAAGTGTTAGAAGTACAGCCATATAGGAGTCCGCAGTGATGATGAGAAAAAGAGTGGGGCACTGTAACACAATGCATGGAGGCTGTGGTTTCATCTGGGAGGCTGTTGTTCTTTTTGATTCTGTATAATAGGTCAACATTGCTGAGGGGAAGGTTGATGGGTGTTACGAACTAGGATAGTTATAATGACAGCAACTCGATAAGAGTTACAGCTGAAGTTATGTTTCTAAACCTTGCAAATACAAGGGTCTTTAAGACAAGACAAAGAGAGTGTCTCTGTCTTGAATATCGGTTCAGACAACTTAAGATTGGAGGTCTTAAGTGAAGGAATATTCTGGTGAAAACCTAGTAGATTAAAGTAAAGAACTACTATGTACATTGTTGACTATATATAAGATGTAACTGACTTAAGGGCAGGTACATCAGTAATGAGTCAGAGATAAGAGACAAGTCATCTAACGACGGCTATGGCAATTGCAATGTAATACAAATATAGAAGACGGATCTAATGATGGCATGGCACCATGCAGTCATGATGTAATACAAGTATAAGGAGAAAGAAATGAATAGGGGCACATGTGACTGTAACAATGGGTAGGTATTGACCAACTATGGGAAAGGTTTGTTCTTGGATACAAGTCATTGGGCCTAGTTGTTCCATTAGTAGAGTTTTGCCTTCTGTTCCTTGTAGCCATTTGGCTAAGAGTTCATTGTTGAATTCAATTATCAATCCCCTGTTGTGGAGGGGGAGGACCATTTTGACTTCACCAGGTGGGGTGTCTTGTCATTTGATGAATGCAAGGACAGCTGAGATTTTCTCAGTGATGTCTGAGCAGGATGTGTTGGGAGGGAAGATTTGGTTGCCAGGGGTTGAGTCCAGTATAATTTGCCTTTCATGTGCTGCTGCCCTGGCTAGCACTTGGTCCACCATGGGGGGGAGATTGGTTGCTGCAATTGCACTATAGGATTGCTGGCTGGCCATTGTTTGAGGAGTGGGGTTGGATAGGGTCTTGGTCATTAAGTCCTCGATTTTGGTCTGGAGTGAATTGACAGTGGGAGTGAGTATTTTGATTGTGTCTTTGACATCCACAATGCTACTGTACACTCCATCTGCTACTTCTTCTACTCTCTTGATCATGGCTTGTATGACTGTTTGGTCTGGGTCCTTCTCTGTTATGGTGCCAATGATTTTCTCCAGGCATGTGATGGGTCCTTCTAGTTTTGTGGATATGCTGTTGGATATGAGATTAATTTTATGGTCATGGTCAGATTTAATTAAGAGAACAGCTATGGCTCTGATGACATCTATGTGCATGGACAATAGAGAGTGAGCTTGGACAGTGAAGTCAAGGAGAGCAGTGGTTATGGATTCCACTGTGATCTCTGTAGCTGGGGTTATGAAGAGCTTTCTTTCCAGTTCCACACATGCCATTTACTCGTCTTTAACATTGGATTGGTTTGCTGGGTCATTTATTAGGTGAGGAATTGATCTATTGGAGAGACGGAAGTTGTTTGCATGGCATTTGGGTCTGGTGGACTTCAAGCCTTGGGGTTCATTTGGTTCTTCTGTTGACATTTCTAAGGGATGATGTTAGTTTTTAGCAGTATTTAGGGTGTTGTTTGGAACTGGAAGGTTGCCATTGGGTGCAGTGTTGACTGGGAGTTTTTTGGGGTCCTAGTCAGGGTGCCACTCAGTACAGAGCTAAGAGGTGATTCCATACCTTACCTTGACTATTGTATGTCTGTTGTCACCCTTATTAACTTTGCTTCCCTTGCTTATGTATCTCTTGACTCTTGACTGTTCTTCTGTCACTTTGCCTGCTATGCAATGTGTTTCCTTCATGGCACACCATGGCTTCATGTCATATCTGCATATCTGGATCTCAGATCCAATCCACATCTTATCTCTGATCCTATCCACATCTTATCCCCCTCCAACATCTCATCATCCAATCTGCCCACTTGTCCGGTCCAGTCCACAATTCATCTGAATCCACAACCAGCACTTGTCTCCTTTTGGTAATCCCCTAACTTTGGTATTTCAATTATCTGTATATCTGTCCTGCTCACTGATCTGTTACCTATGCTTCATTTCCATTTCATTATTTGTGATCTGTTTCTACATATGATATATGGAGGTATTGAGTTGACACACACTTGTAGAAATCAGTCCATGTACTGCGCATCTAGAGCCATATCTAGATGTGGCTCAATGGAGTCTCTCATATCATATCTATGATCTGATGTGATGCATCTGGAGCTGACTCTAGATGCAGGTGGTATGAGAGATATTTACAGACATGATATTAAAAGTCAAATGCAACCAAACCACATGCATGATGACTGACAATGAGCTGGGATGTTATCCTACAATATTAACCAATGCACACAACAGTACCATCATCAAACTTCATCTCATTTGGAGGCAACACTGGACATGACTTGTCACCATTCTGATTGCCACAGTGTCATATGCCATTCTGGACTCTCAACTCTAAATCTGCTTCTCCGGATATCCGGATCTGAGATCCGGATCTCAAATGATCTGATCTATCTTTATCTCCCTTCCGGAATCCAAACCCTATATCAGCACCCAACCCCATTTAGACTGCCCCTGTCTCCGGACTCTGGTTAACCATGTTTCCCTTTTGATTATTGATCCGTTACATACATTTCATTTCTGGTGTTCATTATTTGTGATCTGTCCTACTTACTAATAGACTCTGCATATGCTTCATACATAGCCTTTATGTTTGCTGACTGATTCCTATATGATACCTACAGTATATAAACCTCCTGTAACTCTCAGAAATACTCCAGTTCGAATATCATCTTAGTTCCTGCTCATTCCTGTGTCCTCTGGACTCAAGATAAGTCTCATGTCATATTCTGAGTCTTAGGATTGCATCCTAGACTACATTTCTGACTCTACCTTAAGGGTAGTCCATCCTCTGTTAGTTTCTAGTCCGGACTTCATCTGGATTAGTCTTATCCGCTTGCCCAGGTAATATCCGGACATCTGTCGGATTTATCTCACATTTCAGATCCGGACGTCCATTATCTGCCCTAGTCAAATCCTGGAAACTCCAGACAACTGTTCTAGCCCTGGAAATTAAGGGCACATACTTGGGAAAAGGGCACAGTGTACAAGCTGAGGCCAAGCCCTTGTGATCTGACCCCCTTGAGCACATGACCTTAACACACAGCCAGGCTAATGAATGTGATGTCACCTTGCAGCTGGAGCTGCCATCTCATGTATCTCAATCTTGTCATCTGCTTCATCCATTGCTATGCTTGATGATGCTGCCCACTTTCCCAATGATGTGGAGGTGATGCCTAATGAGATGCATTTCAATATGAGTTTGTGAAGTGCAATCAAGTTCATCATGCACCTGGATTCACAGTGTAGGTATGAGTTGTCATCCCAAGAATCTGAGCCTGCACTGATCCAAAGAGGATCTGACTCACTTGATAGGGACCAAACTGTTGACCACAGAGCATTTTGATAATCTTCTGATGAAGTTTCCCAACCTCATTGCATGTTAGGATGTTCCAATCAATGTTGAGGGTTTCCCCTTTCCAGATGCATCCAGACCAAGTGCTAGCCAATCCCAAGCAGACAAGAAGGAGAGGACATATGCCTTTATTGCTGTGCTTCTTGGTCCATGCACTAGGGAAGGTCTTGGCTACTTTGAAATGATCATGGAGAGGACTGCTGCAATTGAAGACAGCCATGATGTACACAAGGACCATTGCCATGAACTGAGCTACAATCTTGCACCCTTTGTGGCTGGCATTAGAGGTCCATGGCATCTTATGAATGGCCTTAGTGAAAGCAAACATTGTGCAGTGACTCTCATGGTCTGGATGATCTTCAATGTCATAAAAGAGATCTGGAATTAATTTGCTGACATATACACCCACCAAGATGGCCAGCTGGTAAAGTGGTCAGGACATATCAAACTCAGCAAAGGCCCACTGATATGTCCTACAAATGATAGAGTCCTTGGACTCAGACTTGTCCAATGCAACAGAGTCCATTGAGAACTCATCAGGGGCCACAGTGTGAGAAAGAAAGTCTGGTAAATATTGCAGAGTGATAGAGCAAGCTGCCTAGGATGCACATAAATTGGTGGCCTGCACATGTTGCAAAGCTTCTGCTGTGCCATTTGTGACTTGAGAGGTGAGAGACTTTGCACTTGGAAGTTGAGCTGCTTTGCTGAGATTTATCCATGATTCAAAATGAGGTTTGCGATGGTGATGACCTCAACCTCCAGAGAGATGCCATAGAATATTATTGATATGAAGAGTATTGGCAGCGATAATGAAAGCATTTTGTAAAAAAAGATCAGCAGCACTTGGAGAATCATGTGGGACAAACTTTGACATATAGATTAAGGCCACTCAAAAGACCATGGGAGAGGAGGAGGTAGAGAGAAGGGGAGCTGCAACAGGGACCAGGTCTGTAGGGCATGACATGTTAACTAGGAACTTTGTGAAGTCACAGATGAAAAGCTTTTGCTGGGTAGGATTAGGGAGGCCTAAATTGTAGTCACCAGAATTACCAATGATGGAGTGGAGAAGATATTCAAAGGCTCTGTCGAGATAGCTTAGAGGGTGCTTGCAGGCCAACCATTTTTTAAGATTATGGCAGCATGTCCTGGCTTCGAGGCAGGCAGAATGGGTGTCTTGGTTGTCAAGATTAGCACAGACCTTAGTGATGGCAATGGAGACCAGTGTCTTGGTATTGGCAATGAATGATTGAAGAGTGACAACAGTGATGATGGTGTGGTGAAGATTCTGGTCATACTGCATGAATGCAGTGGGGGAAGGGTTGTTGACAGACAGCTGTATATGAAATTCAGCTTCATATACCTGTCATGTATAAAAATGAGGTCTATGAAATCCAAGACAGCAGGATGCACTTGTCTCAAAATGATCCAATCCATAGGTAAGGATCTGAGCTTGCTTTGAAGCTATGGCAGGCAGGTTGGAACAAGTGACAATGGGCCAATCAGCAGGACTGACTGAGACTGGTATTGTCATAGTGGCAATTAGACAGATAGTGTGTGACATGGTTGGCCAACCTTGCTGGAGAAGACTTCTGATCAGCCAGAAAGGTCTCATCAAGCTGGACAACAATACCTTGGCATTGCCAGTATGGGCATACACCAAGGCTCTCTTGAGCATCACACAGATCTTGATCATTTGAGGAGATGGCTTCTTGTTCAACTTCAGAAGGGGCTGCTAATGCTCCCATATGCATTTGAGGAGAGACATTATGCCAAATGTCATCCACTGATATATCTGTGGGAAGGCCTGTAGTAAAGCAAAGCAAAGGCAGTCAGCACAATGCAATGACATGTGCATCTAGAGTCAATTCCAGTTGCATAGCATAATCAAGATGATGGCCCCACAGAATCATGAAGCACATAAACAAAAGACACCCACATCTAGAGCCTACTCCAGTTGCACAGCATAATTGAGACAATACCCATAATACACCTGTGGGTGCATCTAGAGCTGGCTCTACATAAGAAGCAGTGCAATGCCCAATATGTATGTTTGCCATGTGTTGATCAAATGGACAAGAAGGAACTCACATGTGGCACAAACACAGCCAAGTGAGGATGCAAGGCATCACAGATGTAGGGATGAGACCATGCATGGATGAGTGGAATAATGACATCAAGATAAATTGACCTGGATGGGATGTACAGATTAAGAACAATGGGTGGGTGGAATAGAAGAGGATGCTCATAGAACACACATTCCATTTCTCTTCGCAGGATCCATTGATTCAAGCTGCAACATATAGATGTTTTCAAGACACAGATTGCAGGGCACATTCTTGAGTTTGATGGAATTATTATAACATTGATGGGGCAGCAAGATGCAACGGTTGTGCATGATGCCAGTATGAATGTGCTTGCCAGTGAAGGAATCAACTACTAGGCTATGGTACTACAAGGAATACCAAGTCAGAGTATATGTGTAGTCATCTCAGCTCTGCCTAGGCTGCTATACTTCGCACAGGAAAGTGCATTCAACCCAAGGGGAAGTGAGTGCAACACATCCACAGGTTGTGCGAAGCATGGGAAAGTTGTGCACTAATAGGTGAAAGTGCGCAAAGGGCTAGGAATGTGATGGGGACTAAGGGAAGATGATGGTTGATACTGATGAGTGTGAGAATGACAAATGCAATGAAGATGGAGTGTGATTGCCAATTGCTACTGACTATGACTCAAAAATGCATGCACTATGCTGAGGGATGCTCAGGGATACTAACTGGGAACTAAGTGGTAGCTAACTAAGTGATAAAAATGCGGATGCTAACATGCAAAAGCCAACTAAGCACATTCCCACGATACAGAGCTGACATGAGTAAGGTGTGAGAATGAAGAAGGTATATGTAAGTAAGGGTCCATGATGGAATATGGTGTCATGATAAGAATAAATGCAAAAATATACCAGTAGGACTTGCTGGACAATGGATGGATGCTCCTGGATGATGGGTGATGAAGCATGGGACATGTGCAAGAACGCATTGTGAGAGAGTAGTGCACATGTCACACAATGCATGGGAAGATCACATGTGTATAGGCTGAGTGGGGGAATGATATAGGGAATGATGCTGCAAGTTCATGCTGCAAACTGCATGCAGATACATCACAATATTGGGCTCTATGGGCATACAGAGGTGCGAGTCTCTACACTAGCACCCTGCACATAGCTTCCAGACAAAGCAGATGTGATATGTCCTTGTTGGACATTGTGGAGGCCAGCATTAGGTTGAACCTGATGAGATATCTCATTGTAGAACTGGCAGCCAGTAGTGATGATAGCAGGAGGAATCAGCTTGCCATTGTCAGGCACCACATTGATGATCCCATCATCATCATCATCATTGCCATTGTTCACTCTATTTGTGTGTGGTCGACCACATGTTACATTGGCTTGAACTTTTTAAGGAATGTCTTGAAGTGAGGGAGAATGGAATCTGACTGAAGATGGCTGTACTTCTGCATGAAGGCTTGAGGATATACTTTGATCTTGGCATCCTGCTCTTCATCAATATCAAGGATGTCCAGATCCAAATCCAAGTGCTCATCATGAGTGACATATTAAGGGAACAGTTGAGGAATTGTCTCCAGATTTATGAGAAGACTGCATTTGGGACCATCAATGAGGCCCCTGCCATTGAGATGAGGGATGCAACGACCTTCCTCATCATAGATATTGGCTTCTTTCTGTGTTTCAGGTTCATGGAGTGGGAGAGAATGAAGGTCATCTAGGCGTCTGATGTTAGGGTCAGGGGGGCTGTATATGACATCATGAATGGAGAGGATGTCATTGACAGGAACCTCGACCCAGTCTCTGACAATCATACAACTGTGTGGAATAAAAATCATCATGTAAGGAGGGAGGTCAGCAAGTGTCCAGGCAAGACAGAAGAGAGAGACAGGATGTATGATATGTGAGTTGCAACTGCCATGGATAGGTAACAAATGTTGGTATAATCATGTTCATGGTTCCAATTTCAAGCCTCTACACAAAGAGCATGTTGATTGGTACTTGCTATTGGCTAGTTCTGCCCATAATGACATGCAACAGACAGAGGGATGTGCTGCTGAAGCCAACCATCCTTCAACCAGGATGAGGGTACATTGGTAACAAAATCATCATATTGAATTTTCATCATTCAGTTCAACATCAAGACATCCTGCAAGCATAAGGTGATGGTGTGCTGGTCACTAATATGTATAGAAGGATGTCAGTGAAGGCCATTATCAATGAGATAATATACTGCCACAACCAGGGTTGATTCTGAATGTGGTACAGAAGAAAGGAGAATATAACATATATGTACAGCATGTTAGTCGTATCTTCAATTTTCCAGTCATGGAACTCAGAGTGAGGTCCATATGGGTGCATGACATGGACAGCCATGGATGGAATCTGGCTCAGAAGGCAGGCAAGAAACATGACACCCATGCAATAGTGAACAGAGGTCAAATGAGTATTACCATGCTTCTCATTCAGAAGAGAAGTGTCATTGGCAATGTCAATATCTTTAATATTGGTAACAGGGCTAAAGCCCAACCACAGCTCAGTCAACTGACCATCGCTGATGGCCATCATTGAGCCTGTTGGATCAAAGCCAAGTTTTCCAAACTTGGGACAGAACTGACAAGATTGAAGACACAGGTTCAGTGTCAAGAAAAAGTTATGGTTGGCAAGGGTCTTGGGGAGAAAGGCATGCAGGCCAATCTGGCCAAAGACAACAAGAATAAAGTCCAGGAAGTGCTTAGAACCTTGCCATAAGAGAGTGGGATTATCGCTATGCAACTTGAGATCTGTGTCAAAAACCAGGCTAACATGACAATGAAGAAGCTTTATGGCAGAGGAGCAATCATTGACACAAAACATCCTTTCCAGATTGGAAAGGTTAAGGGTGGTGATGGGTGTTTGCTCCCAGGTAGGGCCATCACTCTGGGTGCCCTCTTGGTGCAAGAATAAACCATCAAATATTGCTTCTTGGGTGACTGCATTGTTGTCATTGACCTCCTGCAGGACAGGAACATCATCAAGGTTGAATAGACTGGTGGCAGTAGTGTCTTGATTGATTTCATTGTCCAAGTTGAAATTGTTGTTAGACCTGATGGAGGAATGTTCAGAAACCATGATTAATGAGCAACACATGACAGAGAAAGCTTACAAAAAAGTATACTCAGAGTTTGATTCCATCAAGAGATGTGAAAATTAGGGCAAGGACAAGCTTCAGAATTGTGTGGACCAAAGCACATATTATACTTTAAAGCTAGAATCAGGGTCAGCAGTCT